GAGAGAGAGAGAGAGAGAGAGAGAGAGAGAGAGAGAGAGAGAGAGAGGGAGAGAGAAAGAGAAAGAAAGAGAAAGAAAGAGAGAGAGAGAGAAAGAGAGAGAGAAGCCTAATAAAAGTACAGGGACTTAAGAATTAATTCTACTGAGTATAACATACATAAAAAAGTACTCATTTCAGTGTACATTTTCAGGAGTTGCTGGCAAAATCATGGTATTGAAAGGCCCACTAAAATGACCATGGCAGGACATTGCTGGGGGCAAGCCACTTGGCCTGAGGCTTTGGGAAGGTCTGACTTCATAGACTGGTTAGTTTGTTTTGTTTTTTTAGGTCAACTTGACACACACAAAATAGGGTCATATGGGAAGGGGGAACTTTAATTTTTTCCAATTAATTTACTGACTTTACATCCTACTCTCAGACCCCACCTCCCAGTCCCCCCTTTCAGTCCCATCCCCCAACCCTTTAATTGAGAAGATGCCTCTATCAGATTGGCCTATAGATAAGTGTGTGTGAGAACCTCTTCTTAATTAATGATTGATGTGGGAGGGCCCAGATTACTGTGAACAGTATCTGTCCTAGGCAGGCAGGTAGTCCTGGTGGCATAAAAAGGCATGCTGAATGAGCCATGGGCAGCAAGCCAGTAAGCAGCTCTGTGATCTCTGCTTTAGTTTCTGACTCTGTAGAGGATGAGGTAAATACTTTCCTCCCCAATTTGCTTTTTTGTTATGTTCCTTATCACAATAGAAAGCAAATTAGGGCACACACCTCTTCTGTTTTATGAATGTGTCAAGAACACAGTTGTGAAGTCTGGCACTGCGAGCCTCAAAGGCAGGCAGCATGAGCTAGGAGGCCTGCCGGAGTCCACCCATCCCCTTTGTTAGTCAGCCTACGCTGGCAAGCTGCCTGAGCTTCCAAGTCTCGTCAGATGAGTGGGATCTACACACCCTGTGCGTTCAGTGGGAATGGGTGTGTTTGGGCCTGGTATCATTTCTGTATCCAACCCATTGGAAAGAAAATCAGAGTTGGTAGCAAAGCCCCTGCTTGCACTAGTTTTGGATGGCACTTTGAAGGACTGGCAGTGAGGGAATAGAGGACCTAGAATTAACTTTCAGCTTCAACTACCCGAGAACTGGGAACTACCACCAGAGGAACTGTTTTCAGAAGCTAGAAAATAGCCCAAAGAAGCCCAAAGAAAAACTGCGTGCCCTGAGAAGAGAGAAGTATGCTGTGAGCACCAAACCACCCCGTCATTTGGCCTGCAGCACTTTTTGACAGTAGGCAGTGGTCATGGTATTGAGGAAACAGACTGGAGCTGGAGAGGCAGGGCAGCTGGAGCTTGTGAGGGAATGTTCTGGAGTAGAGAGAGCTCCATGGGGAACAGCCTGGAAACTGTGAGGAAAAAAATGAGCTGGGCATACACAGGGTAGAATCCTGAGTAGCTGGGCCAGACCTGAGCCAAGAGTGGTAAGATCTTGTCTGACTCCAGGAAGGCAGTGCCACCGAAGGGGTGAAATTAGCCCTACATGACATCTAAAGCCACCTGATGTCTGAACATTCTCTGATAGCTCCACCTCTTCCGTATTTGTTCACTGTGCTCTCCTGTGAAGCTCACTCCTGTCCCCTCATCCATAGCCCTCCTCATTGTAGGCTTTCCTCTCTTTCCTGGGAACGTCCTGATTCTGTTTACATGGTATAGCAGATGTGCTTTGTGATGGCTGTCCTTATCTAGGATGTGAGCATCTGGCTCTCTGAGTGCCTGAAACGATCCAGCACCCGGCAGGCACTGAGAGACACAGTGAGTCTTATAGCAAGGAGGGTCTCAAGAGAAGGAATAAGCAGTCCTTCCTCCTGGTCCAAATCGAGAAACTGAGGCAAGAGTGATTTGCCCAGGGCCATATTCCGGTGGGTTATGGTAGAGCTGGGACTGAAGTTCTTGTGTGCTGTTTGATTTCTGGGCTTTAAGGAAAGGAGAAGAGGCAGGTCCTGGAGTTCTGTGAGAGCTTCCATGCATGGGACTCAACCTGCGCTCTCTTCAGTCAACTCTTGGCTGCATGGGCTGAGCAAATAGTTTAGACAGGAGTGGTCAAAGCCAGTTTCTATAGTCTCCATCCTACCTCAGGTAATAAAGACACAACCAGGGCACAGAGACAGAGCTGACTTACACATGGTGGCAGATGTCTCCTTCCCAGACAGGAAATGACTTGGTCTCAGAGAACAGCCTTGTGCAGGGGCGGGGCACTTTTTCACAGGCTATGACACAAAGGAGAAAGAAAGGCTCTTAGGAGGAGGCTCTTTCAGCCTCTCAAGTGAGACCCCTCCCCCAGGAAGCACCCTGCAAGCCTGTATGAGCCTGTGGGTCTGTGCCAGCTACTTTCTGGGCTTAGGGCCTGGCTTCAGGGTGTTCAGTAGCTGCAGTATCAGGGTGTTAAGTTTTCCTTAAGTTTCATGTGGCCTCAGGATTCTTTTGTGTCTTCCTGGAAGCTTCCAACACTTTTGACACTCAGTCCAAATGTGTTCTTGAGCAGCCTTTGATCCTGCCACTGAATCTACTGTCCCTCTCGTCAGTCAGGCTCCAAGATGTTACTTCCGAATCACCACCCCAGTTCCTGACTTCCTAGGCTTTGTCCTGCAGTGCTTTCAAGCAGTGTTTTGGGCGTCCCTCTGTTCCTTGTGGTTCATGGTCCATTTCTGAGGCCACGCATTCACCATCCTTCCTACCTGGGTTCTTTTGGACTCCTGACTTATTACCTCACAGATTGAAAGCTAACTTGGGGAAAACCATCTTGAATGGTCAGCATCCTAGGGCCAAGTCCCAGGCTATCATCACAGTTGCCCTGAGGCCAGTATCCGCTTAATAGCCTGTGACTTACCAAGCTCACAGTGTCTGCCTTTGAACCCAGGCCTGCAGTCACAGCTGTGGGCATTGGCACCTGGGACACAGGTGCCTCCATTCTGACAGGCATCTTCTGAACAGCTGCCAGGGGTACCTGGAAACAGGAAAGCACTGTCAGCTTCAGAGCTGCTAGTACTGCAGGCTGCGTCCCCTGATGATAAACAAGGACAGCAGTGGCAAACCTTTCTTCCTTCTGTTGTTAGACATCGGTGCAGGCTGCTAACAGTGCTGACTGGGTCTGGACTGGGTCTCAACTGCTTGTTGAGGAGCCTGTCCATTCCTTGTGGTGTGGGTTTGGTCATCTTGTCATAATCATTTAACAGTAGATAATGTGGCTATTTCTAGACTCTGCATTCTGCTCTGTATATTTACATGTTAGTCCTTAAGGAGTGTCACCCTTGACTGACAGCATGTTTTGATATCAGGAATATGAATCTTCCTACCTGTTTCCTCTTTTCAGAAAATGTTTTACTATTCTGAATCTCTTATATTTCCATATGAATTTTAGGCACTATACATAATGCCCAGAGATGTTTACAGCAGCCCTACAGGACAAGGAAGTATGTGAGAGTACTGAAAATCTGAGTTCTTATCATCCATCAGTCCTCACTCTCTGCATGGGACAGCCAGGGCTATGAGGACCATGGCTGAGACACGCCTGTCATTTGTGGGTGAATCTGCAGTTGACAGAGCCTCAGAAAGGCTAATAAGAGCATATTATACTTTTTATGAAGGTCTAGAATATCTATGGTGATGGGAAGTACCTTGGTGGCGCCTCAGGACAGAGATGGAGGTATAGGGGACCAGCTAAAGTACCTGCTATAGTCAGGTATTGATAGCCAATACCATTAAAGACAGACACACACACACACACACACACACACACACACACACACAGACAGAGAGAGAGAGAGAGAGAGAGAGAGAGAGTGCTCTTTTGAATCAGGTAGTGGATGAGGTGTGTGGGGTGTGGTGGCACCTTGTAGCAGAGCATTATGCTGGTCCCCTATGGATGATGTAGCAGAGCA